ATATAAGGATAAAGTTGGAAGGATATGACATTGTTTATAATTTTATTTTCTATATATGATAACAGCAGCAAGGTTTTAAATGTATAGAAGTGGAAAGATATTATTTATAATGAAATAATGGTTTGTGAGGTAAATGGAGTTTGCCGAGATGGTGACATTGATGGTTTTGATTTGAGATAAGACATTGGGTAATTTTAGCGTTAATTGGAATTTTTTTGAACTTTTTGTGGGATATACAAAAATGAAATTATGTTATATAGGTTTGATATTAGAAATAATATGGGTTAATAGAAATAATGGAAGTTACATAGTAAATTTGGAGCAAAAGTTTGATGTATATTGTTACTTATATCTTTCGTGGGGTGGGTCAGAAGTCAATTCTTGTTGTTGCTGCTGCTGTTGTTTCTTTTCTGCACTTTTGCTTTTACTATTTTCTTTTAATTTTTTTTCCTATTTGTTTATTCTTTATTTTTTTTTCAATCTATAATTTCCTTCCAGAATTCTTGAGCTTTACAGCATTGCTACTAAAAATGAAAGAATGATCCAACCTGATGATTGCATTTTCAACAATTTTTAGAGAATGAGTTATCTATTTTGGCAATCTATACTGGAGTATATATCAATGATAAAATATCATGTACTAGTTACTACTGGAGTATATATCAATGATAAAATATCATGTACTAGTTTTTTCTAAGTGCAACATTCATGTTAAATTTAATCTTTGCCTCCATTAATATTCCCATTGTTGCATATCACTTGTCTAGTTTAAATTCTGCATCCATTTAATCATACAATCTTTGATTTGTTCAGATAGGTTTTTCAGATATACTCAAGTCCCTCAGTATTCCACCTTGTTTTTGTAATTTATTTAAAACAGTGCTACTTATTTAGAGATATTGAAATGAATAAGGTGATTCTCACCATTCCAAAGAACGTGTCTTGACAACTGGCTTGATAATATAGTTTGAAATTTGAGACTGCTAATTCATCTTGTTCTTTCAGGTCTTATAAAAACTTGAGCTTAATCTTTGGTTTTCTATTTGACCATATAAAGTTAGTTACTTACATCTTGTTTAACACCTCAGAACTTTTTCATTATTCTTATTTATCCTTCACTAATTCTCTCACTTGTTCATTATAAACAATCAACACACTCGTACTGATTGAGATTCATTCCTTTGCTATGTGTACGTAGGAGTAGATTTATCCTTAAATTGTATATTCAAACAAACAGATCTTTTTCTAAGCAGATACCAGGTATTGTCATTCATTCTTGAGTCTCTGAATGTTCCATTCACTTTTTCTAAGCTCTCTTGTCTTGATTCACTTATCCATTCATGCAGCTAGCAGATTCATCCATCCATCCATCCATCCATCCATCCATCCATCCATCCATCATGTTGCACAAACTTTCCCAAAACTCACATCTGGTTCTTCCATTGTCATATTTAGTGGAGCATAATATGCAAGTGTCATTTACCTAGATCCCTATTTTCATATATATTCATAACAACCTACATGACATCAATTCATACTTTTGAACATATATTTTAACTGTTTTATTCATAATTAAACATATATCTTCACTTCCCAGCCCATATACATCAACTCCATTCCATTCCTTCAAGGCTTTCAATTAGATAGAGATGTAGACCAGCCTTAGTCGTATCCATGCCACATACAGCATTGCCTGCTAATTATGAGGCCAGTTTGGATACATTTTAGCCAGTACGCCACAAGTGTAATTGTAGCTCAGTTTTCCCCCAAGCATGCTCACACTTGTAAATACAAGCTGGGATCTCAAGCTTGTATAGAATAGTGTAAGCATGTTTAGGAGAAACAGCTACCTAGTGACTGTGTTGCAAGACAACATAGTGTTGCCTGTGTCACACCAGCTGGAGCAGGGAGATTAAGGTTGAGTCCTACCTCCTTCAGCGAAGCTCACCAAGTGACTTTGGGTCAGCTGCTTTCTTTTAGCTTGACCTACATCATAGAATTGTTGTGGGAAAAAACAGAAGGAAGGAGTGTTGTGTACATTGTCTTCAGCTCCTGAATGAAAGGCATAATATAAATGAAAGAAATAGGCATATTCAGTGTACTGTCACACTCAGAATGCCACACACAAAGTTATAGTAACTATATTAATTACTACTATATTAAATGTCTTTAAAAATTAAAGTTCTGATTTGCAGTGGTTTGTCATAAATGGAACTGAACCATCAATTTGATGCGGAAGCCTTTCATGGTTGTAGGTTCTATATTTTAATGAAAAATGAAAAATTAGTGAATGGGAAAAGAAAAAAAATAAGTATTTTAAAAAGAGTAGAACAAAACTGTATTAAGTTATCTGTACACACGTCTTTTGATGACATATGAAATACCAGAAACAGTAAGGATTAAAACTCCATCGGTCATATTATTTTGACTTGGATATGGGGTCCTAGAGTGTTGATCACTCATTTAATTTAGCTTGTACTGTATTTCAGCAATTAATAATGAATTGGATGCAATTAGATGGATTTACTTTTGTGGAATCATTTACAAGATATACTTTTTATAAAGATTATTTATTGAATGTATTTTTAATTTTAAGGTGGCACTCTTTCCAAAGCATTTTACAAGGCACTTGTAAAATTGATACATCCCCCCTAAATAGGATTCATTTTTGTATATTATAAAGAAAATCTTGTCTAGTGAGCAAGAGCTGATTATGTGAGTTTGTGCATTTAATCTTGAAAAATGTATTCGGGAGGGGGGGATTTTTTCTCCCAGTGGTGGCCTTATGCCTGCTCCTTTACCTGTCATTTTTCTGGATTGCATTAAGAGGTGAGGTCAACATCACTGTATCAGTGAGCAAAGGAACGGAGGTGGCTGTTTCCCTTTGAAAATTAGACGAAGCGTTGGAGGCAAAAATTCTAGTTCACGATTCCCCCGACATTATGACACGAAGCAACTGGATCCAACCCTAGCTGCGGCACTACAGATGACAGCTGCTGCCTTGCAGCACCTCCACTGGCCTGTCATCTGTTTTTCCTTCCTCGCTTCCTGCTCAGAGAGCCCACGGGCAGAGCTGCCTCCAAGCACTGCCACCAAGGGGTAGTCCCCGCTATTCAGGGGAGCTGTGGCAAAGAGCACAGCACGCGGAACACCGGCCTCGGGAACCACAAGTGGCCGAAAGCACGGGCTGTGCCGCGGCTGCCTTGACTAAATCCTCGCAGCCACGTGGGATCTGCACCAGGCGCTCCCCGAAGCACCTCCGCTTCTTGGACGCTTTAGAGGCAACCCGCAGAGTTTGCGGGCTGCTTAGATAAGTCGGCGAGAAGCGGAGCAGCCCGAGCCCCCGTTCCCACGCCTTCCTACGTGCCGATCAGATCTGCCGGCGCGTGTGTGGAGAAAAACAAGGGGGAAACGAGGTACCACCCTAGTTATACTCGCGCCGACCTCCAGATGCCCGGAAGCAGCTCTCACAACTGGGATACTTATGCTTGCATCCCAGGAGAGCTTTCGCCCATTAGGGCGGTGAACTCGGGGACAACTTGGGAGCTCTGTGACTGTTACTGACTGTGAGGCCTCTAAATTTCTATTTCCGCGCTCCCGTAGGCAGCTGCAGGCCGCACAGGCAGCAGTTAGAAAGGAGGCGGGGCTGGGGAAAGAGGACGCAAGGGTGTTCACAGCCAACAAGAAAAGAGCTTCTACATGAGTGATTGACGCGCTCGGCCAGTAAGCGGGAGGTTTGTTGCGGAGTGGCCGCGCGACCCGAGAAGCCTATAAAAGGAGGCCAGGCGGGAGCGTGCTTTCGCCCCCCGGATAGCTGTGAACCGTCGTGTCTGTTTGTCTGTCAGAAACTGCGCGGGAGGGGAGGAGTCGCCGCTGACGACATCGGCAGAGACCGGCAGGTTCGGGACGAAGCTTTAGGAACCGGATTCCGGTTCTTCTGGGAACGTGAGCCGAGCGGCGTTTAACGTGAGTCTCGGAAGCCCGAGGGGGGAGGCGGCTTCGCGTGGCGAGGCCGAGTGGGACGCGCTCCTTTCGTGCGTCTGGAGGCGCCATCTCTTCCTTTTTATCGTAGGCCTCGCTGACGGGGAGAACTTCCGTTGTTGTCGCTTACGCAGGTTCGAGGCAGCGGCGCACTCTCTGGGCTAGTAACCATGGCCGAGGTGGAGCACCAGTTTGGCGCCACCCAAAATGGGCATGAAGCGGCGGCGGCGGCGGCCGAGGGATCCGCGAGTGGCGGCGACGAGGAGCTGTTGCAGCCGGAGCAGCAGCTTGAAGAGGAGGAGGAGGAGGAAGAGGTGGTGGCGGCGGCAGTGGTAGTGGCCGAGGCTGGAGAGGGGGACGGGGACGGCGAAGGAGAAGGCGAAGAGGCGGGGCAGTCGGTAGTTTCTGCGGAGGCGAGCGGTAGCCAGAACGGAGCCGAAGGTGATCAGATCAATGCCAGCAAGAACGAGGAGGATGCGGGGTAAGGGTAGCGGCGTCGTTTTATTCCCCCCGCCCACTTTCTGTGGTTTCCGGCGCCATGCACGGCGGCAACCTGCTCGGAGTGACAGGCCCGAACCCGCTGTTTTGGCTCAGCTCCAACCAGTTCTTGGGCTTTTTCTTGCCGTGCCTGATCTTTGCAGAAGGTGGTTGGCGCGCAGGTCCTTCCTTTTCTGGCCTTGTCTTTGGCGCTAAAGTAGACAATAAGCTGAGACTGGGCTGCAGCAGTCGGACCTCCTTTGTTCTTGGAGCTGCCTTTTGTTGGCGCCATGTGGTGGTGGTGGGGGAAGGAGGGGCAGTAAGGCTTCTGGTTTCCTGAAATGGCAGTAGTTTAGTCCTCCCCCCTTTCTTTGTGTGTCATGTTAGTGCCATTTAAGGACAGCATACTACCCTGGCATCTACTAAAAGTTGAAAAGATACATGGCCCCCTTCCCCAAAATATATTGATTACTAGTTTGATGGAAGTCAGTAGTAGCTCTTTAAAAAGTGTTAAGGCACAGGTACATATGCTATATTTTTGAAATTATTGGGTGGCAGTGTTATTTAACTCTACACTCCCAGGTCTAGTTATTGCAGGT